GACGGTGTTTATAGCTGCAGAGCGGAGAATTTGCTGGGACAAGTGAATGCCTCGGCGAAATTAACTGTGCAGTGTAAGTAGCTTTATTTTATGTATTTGGCTGTTTAGAGGCAGAAACAACTGTCGAACAGTCACATTCGAAAGATAATCGTTTACAGTGATAATAAAAATAACATCAGGATATCATTTATCATGTTTTATATACCGGGCGCTAAATCGCCACTCAGTGGAAGCATGGTTTCTTTCGTCGACGCTTATCTCCTGGATCACGATTTATCGCGTGGTTAGCGTTATCAACCCTTTGAACAACTGACCCTATTGCTCTAAAGTCAGACTTGGTCTCTTCCTTGAGTACTAAACCGGAGACAAAAAATGTAACAAAAACTATACCGAATAAATCATAATTTTCCCATTTCTCGACAGTCGCTCCTCAACTTTCATTGTCATCCAATAGAAAGATGGCTCAAGAAAGACAAAACATCACCATCGCCTGCACTGCCACCGGTCAGCCACTTCCCAGCATCACGTGGTCCAAAGCAGTTGGTAGTTTACCTGAAAACAGAACTGAAGTGTTGAATGGAACCCTGACAATACACAGTGTGACAAGAATTGACGGTGGAACTTACATTTGTAAGGCAGGAAATCTTCTGGGATCAGCAACAGATACTTCGTTAGTAGTGATATTTTCTCATCTTCGGTTTAGAGTCCGTCCTCCTCAGGAAGTGACACCTGTGATTGGTTACAGCGTTCATCTGCCGTGTGTGGCCGAGAGTGATCTGAAACCGACAATCGATTGGACTAAGGAAGGCAACTCTTTACTTCCTGTAGGGTCCAAGGTTCTACGGAATAAAACATTGAACATTCAGAAAGTTGGGAAATCACACGAAGGATCTTACACCTGCAGAGCGACTAATGCCCTGACAACAATAGAAGCGAAAGTCAAAGTCAATTCTCCAGTTATTGCGACCTCTTGTTCTTTGATAAGAAAATACATCAGCAGTGTAAGCGGTAATTACGTCATTGATCCGGATGGCTCGGGAGGCCTGGCACCATTTACAGTTTATTGTGACATGAGTGACAAGAATGGAGTTGGGGTGACAGTCATAAGTCACGACAGTGAGAGTAGAACGCATGTGAATGGGAATGGGTATGTCAACCCTGGTACTTATTCACGTAACATTCGTTACACAGCAGCGAGTCTCTCTCAGCTGACGAGTCTCACCAGAGTCTCATCACACTGTGAGCAGTTTATCAAGTACGAGTGTTATTACTCCGTGATGTTTGCTAGGTACGGAGTATTTGCCTGGTGGGTGTCGCGTGATTCTAGTAAGATGACGTACTGGGGTGGAGCATCACCTGGCAGTGGTAAGTGCGCATGCGGGATGACCAACTCATGTGCAGGTGGATATGGTTGTAACTGTGATAAGAATGACT